TTGGTTAGCAGCTATTTTACATAAAAAGAAATATTAAAGAAGTACTATGTTTTTTTTTTTTTCTTTTCTAAAAGAAGGACTTTAAAAGGAACTAATACCTTAATAATCTTCACAGGTAACGTTTACTTGAATAAACTCTCTTTAAATTTGCTTGAAATACCTGGGTCGTGGGGACAGTTAATGTGTTTGACTGCTAGCTGAAAGGTTGGAGGTTTGAGTCTACCCAGAGGCTCCTGGGAAGAAAGTCCTGGTGATCTACTTGTGAAAAATAAGCCATTAAAAACCCTGTGGAGCACAATTTTACTCTGATACACATGGGGTTGCCATGAAACAGAATCGTCTCCATAGCAACTGGTTTAGTTTGTTTCTTAGATTTGCTTATTTAAACGTTAAGCCCACATATTCCTCATGGAATTGGTTAAAGATGTTTGTAAATAGAGTTTACTGAAAGAGAATCCCTGTCTAGAGCTACTTTGATACTAGGAAAGAGGAAAAGACCATTTTCCAGCTAGTCTTACCCAGATTATGTCTGCCTTTTCCAGATTATGTCTGCATATTAGCTATGCAGTTTTGAACCTTGGGGAGATCAATTAGTTGCAAAATGATGTTAACTAAGAAATTCAGAGTCTTGCATTTATTTATTCACATTCTCAGTTATTTGCTCTAAATCTACTACATACTCTTTTTATGCTTATTTATGTAATTAATATTCATTGTGGCGCATTGGAAAACAAAGATAAACAGAATTAAAATAAATTACCTGTAATCACACAACCCAGTGATCACCACTGTTACTATTTTGGTATATCATCCAAATCGTTTGTTGTTGTTTGTTTTTTTAGAAAATGGGATCATGACTCTGTATATACTATTATAATATTCCGTAACCCGCTTTTATTTCCCTTAACTATGCATTTGCACAGCTTTTTATCATTCCATTTTATAGAGACACCATAGTTTGGAAACAACCCCAATGTCTTAGAGTAGTTTAATTATTTCCCATTCCAAGACATTTGGGTTATTTTCCTATTTTTATTCTTACAAAACAGTGTGATGAATCTACATATAAATGCTTATCTGTGTGTGTTTATGTGTGTGTGTGTGGTGTGCAACATGCGTACACTTTATACCAAAAAAAATAAAAAACCAAACCCGTTGCCGTTGAGTTGATTCCAACTCAGGTACTTACCCATATATGTTTATTTTTAAATTTTTTTCTTATATGATTATTTACTTAGGATTCATGAAATATTCTTAGGAAGATTTTTTGATAAGGAATTGCTGGATTAATGGATATTTGCAATTTAAGACTAATTGGTAATTAATTGCTAACCTGGGAAAAAAAATCCAATTTATACTCCTACCAGTTTACTATGTTTGCCTGTTTACCTCAGCTCCAACAACACTGCTTTTTTGGTCACTGATATTTATTGAAATATAATGCATATACACAAAAGTGCACAAATCATAACCTCAGTGAATTTTCACAAACTGCTGTTACTGGTAACTGATCTAGTTCAAGAAATGCAATGTTGCCAGCACCCTGGAAGGTCCCTTTGTGCCATTTTCATTTACACTTCAAAGGGTAACTATGATTCTGATTTCTAGCAGCATTAATTAGTATTGTCTATTTTAGGACTTTATGTAAAATGGAATCATATGCTTTGTACTCTTTTGTGCCTGACTTCTTTCATGCAACCTTTTGCTTGAGAGATTTGTCCATATTGTTCAAGTTGTAGTTTTTTTTATTGCTCTATACTATTTTATTGCCAACATTCTTTTTTAATCTGTGTCTGACAATGTAAAATACCATAGTGTTATAGTTTTCACTCACAGTCTCTAATTTAATGTGAAGTTGAACGTGTTTTTCTACCTTCAGTGGTTATTTATGGTTGTTCTATGGTGACAAGTGGTTATTTATCACTTCTGTATTGTGACACTAGTTGCTCTATTGTGAATAAACCTTTTGCCTTTTGACCGTACAATAGGTCACATTTGCCTTTAGTTATAAAATGGAAGAGTGACTTTTGTTTCTTCACTGACTCCCAGATGGCCAATTAAGACTAAAAACTATGCTGTTTTGACAAGGCAACACGTTTTCCTCTGGGGCTCCCATGGTTATAGGGTCTTCATCCTCAGCAGTGAGAAAAGGAACATGATACAGGGATTCTAGTCAGCCAGCCAGTCAGCCCCCATGGTGGGCTAAAGCCATCTTCTGATTATCATGCTGGTACCTCAGACTTTTGGGTCTTCTTTCAAAAACTCATTCTTTTGAAATGTTGACCAGTTAACTCTTTGTTGCCCCAGGGTACAGGGCTTCTATAAATTTAAAGCTGACTCACATTCAGGATTGAGTAAACAAAGGTGAGACGGAAAAGAACCTCTGTCTCAGAGTTCCCAAATCTAGTTACACATGAGAATCACCAGTGGGCGCTTTTAAGAGATACCAATGGCTTGCCCCATCCTGAGATTCTGATTTAATTGGTCTGGGAAGAAGCTTGAGAGTTAGTATTCTTAACAGGGCCCCAGATGAGTCTAAAGGGTAGCCAGGATAGAGAGCCACTGCAACTTCTGTCTCCTCAGGAGATAGATCTATTTTAGCCCATAAGTAGATAATATTTCTGTCTATTTGATGTCATGGCAGACACCCAGAAATGAGCCAGTGTCTTAATATTTGTCTTTTCCAACTACTGCACAATACCAGACATTTCACTGCGAGACATAATTTCTTATACTTACTATTTTGATTCATAGCAAATGTATATTATCCTGGATGAGCCAGTATTCTAGCTGGTCGGTTCGTAGCACCTGAGTATGATTGAGCTTGTGAGTTCATTATTTGAGAGAGATTGTGGTAATGGAAGAAGAGCTGTTGCTACCATTTGGGGTTAAGGAGTATGATGAGGAGAAATTGAGGTGTAGAAGCAAACAATCTATATTTTTAAACCTGTCCTATGTCTCAAAAAATCCCAGGGCTATTTGGACTGTAGTTTTACTCTTGTGAGTCATATTCAGGTCTTACAAGGGAAACCCTAAAAGAGTGGTTCAAAAAGTGCAGTCTTTTGGCATGTCAAAGGGATACAGAAGTCAACTGAATGAGCTCCCAATAGCCAAAGCTGGGACAATTTGAACAACAAAATATATAAAGTAGCATTGGGTACTATAAATAAATGATAGAATAAATAATAAATGGGGTAGAATAAACAAATTTTCCATACCGAATTCTAAATATTGTACGTAGATATTTCTTATCACCTAAGTGTGGTCTGTGCACAGTGACTTCTCCCCAAGAGTACAGAAACATGGGAGGGATGTGTGTGTGTAACTTTACAGTTGAGAAACCTGGCAAAACTGCTTCAGCCAGGTGATCAAGGTTGATATTATCTATAGTAAGTCATGTTGATAGCATGTACCCTTGATATGATGTGATTAAAATTGGAAGAGGCTGCACAGGCCCGGCTCACTATTATTACTCCCCACTGCTAACCCCCACATTGTCTCATGATCTTGTTTTTCCCTCTGGTTCATGTCTGTACAAAAGGTTTAAGATTAACTGATGTTCTTCCTTGGAGGGTAGAAAACAAGTGATAATGATCTAGGAATGACAAACCAAACAAAGCACCCATCTTGGGACAAGAAAACCAGGATGTCACCAGATAACCCCCAAGAAAAGATTAAGTCATCTGGGAACTAACACAAACTTCTAAGACCCATAGTCCTGTCCCTATAAAAGCCTTTGGCTCATCTCCAGTTGGGGAGACGGGCTTTTTGGAGGAATCTATTCCCCTCTGTCGCCTGTATATCGATATATAATAAAACTCTTGCTGCTCACCTCACCCCTGTCTCAGAATTGGCTATTGCGGCAGGTGGCTCCAATCCGTGTTATTGTGGTAACAAAATGGCACTTTATCTCTGTGGTCTTCCTCCCCAAAACCCATAACTTTAGTCTAATCATGAGAAAAAAAAAAAAAATTAGGTAAATTATCATTCTTCACAGTTAAGGAATGTCATGCTCTGCCTCTGTTTTTCAGATAGTCTACAAAAATACACTCTCCAGAGCGCATCTCGGACCCCATGGTGTTCATGTCTTTCACAACTCCTTCAGCACACATATCTCCCCCATTGCTGATATCCCCAAGCACATAATCATGTGCCAATTTGCCCATTTCCAAGGGCCAGAGCATGAATTCCCTGGAGTTAGAGGACTCCACCTACCAGATGGTAACCTTGGGCAATCATTTGACTCCTCTGTACTTGCGCTTCCTCATGCGTTATTTGGGTATGATATAAGAGTATCCACATAGTGGGGTTTTGTGAGAATTGTAAAGTAATACTCTAAAACTGTTAAGAATAGTATCCAGTACTTAGTGACGATCCAATAAATGTGAGCCAGTGCTACTATTAGTAGTAGGTGCCTTGCTTTTTCATTGTCTCTTCACTTCTTCTAAAGTGTCAGAGTTTTGCGTGCAAAGTAATGACTCAATAAAGAGTAAATGAATGCGTGAGAACCCTATTTTAAATACAGTGACCCCCAGGTCCTACACACACCAGTCTTCCAAGGCACCTTGAACTTGATTTGCCGAGGATATCTCATGTTGTCTCTGTAATGCTTTCAGGATAATCCTAGAGAACTGGTTGGAGAATATGTAAAACCTGCAAGTGAGTTCATCTTGTGCTCTACCACCTACCTACAAGTTGTACTGGTATCAATGAATCACGCCATTTTATTTTGATCGAAGGTTATTATAATTCCAATTTAATTCTTAAATGGCAAATAGCTGTTGCCGTTTATGTTAGCAGAGTTTCTCTTAACATAAGAGACAACAGCTATTTGCAGTCTAAGACAAGGACTGTGCTAGCTAGCAGCTGATGGGTAAGTAAATATGTTTGAATAACGGGTTTAGATTTTGGTTTTTTGCTCTTAGCACAGGTTAAACAGAAATTACATGCCGTAAATACACAAGCCGTAAATATACAAGGTGTTTTGGTTTATTTTCCAGATGGGAATTAATGTGGTGGACTCTGCAGTATCTGGATTAGGTGGTTGCCCTTATGCAAAAGGTGCTTCTGGGAATGTTGCCACTGAGGATTTGATCTATATGCTTAATGGCCTGGGGCTCAATACGGTAAGTTTCATTACCAAATTTTAATATTCGTGGTTCCTTGCAGCTCAAATTGGAATGCTTCAGAAGATTTGGGAAGTTATTTTTAGGTCAGAGTTTTACTGAACTTTTGCTATTTGCTAAAATGCACAGTGGGAAAATACAATAGAATTCTTGGGAGGGCTTTATAAAGTAACTTGTTACTGTAACTCAAGTATCATTAATGCTGCCATTTAACATTTTTCTAATGCTTCATGGCCTCCAGAGTACTTCTTCGTATTATATCTAACTTCACATGCTAGAGCATGGGTCATTGTTGTTGTGATTGCTGATTTTTGTAGTTTTGTTTTTTGTATGGATGTTTGATTTGGAGGAGACTGAGACCTTGATTTTCACACAGTGACAACTAGGGCTTCTAGAAAAGATACAAGGACACTTTTGAAATGGCCAGTGGAAGAGCTGCACTTACTATTACTTTAGTATATGAGACATTAGATGGCAAAAATACTAGTCTAAGTACCTGAAAAGCCATGTGCTCTATAATAACATCCACCAAAAACAGCACCTTGTTTTGTAACATGCTTGTAAACATAACTTGGTATTTTATAGGGCAGCTTATTGTTTAAGAGGAAAACAATAAAAGACAAGCAAACTATCCACAGCGGATGGTTGTTGTTTGGTGCCCTCGAGTTGATTCCAACTCATGTCAGCCCCATGTGACAGAGTAGAACTACCCCATAGGATTTTCTAAGCTGTAATCTTTAAGGATCAGATCACCAGATCTTTCTCCTATGGTTCAAACCACCAGTCTTTCAGTTAGCAGCCTAGCACTTTGCTATTGTGCCAGCAGAGCTTCTTCCACACATTATTAGACATTCAAAATATTTTCTGAAATGTAAAAGCATCATCTAGATTACAAAATAAAATTTCCCTCTCTACCTCTTCCCTCTCTCCTCTTGTTTTACTCTACTTACACTGGTGCTCATGAATCACCAAACTTGTCTGTAGTCCCCATTTCTGTACCATTCTATTCCTCACCTCCACCCCTTGCTCATGCTTTCACCATCGCATGGAATGACCTTATTCCCCATACTTGATTTCACCTGGCAAGTGAAATAACACTATCCTCAAAAAATCTTCTAGCATCTCCCTCCCTATCTCCCAGTCCCAGTTAATCAGATGCCTGTCCTCAGTATGTCCATGCTCACTTATTTGTCCCTACCTCTGAACCTATCATGAGGTTGTATAATTATCTTGTTTATGTGTCTAGCTCCCCCTGCAGCCAGAGAGCAATTATTACAGCTTACTCGTATTTGGTGCCTGTTGGCCTGTGTGTATGTGTGTGTCTGTGTTATGTGTTGTGTGTTGTGTGCCATTGAGCCGATTCTGACTCATAGCAACCCTATATGACAGAGTAGAACTTCCCCATAGCGTTTCCTAGGCTGAAATCTTTACGGAAGCAGATCACCAGGTCTTTTCTCCCCCAGAGCAGCTGATGGATTCAAACTGCATGGAGATGCTCAATAAAATGTTTATTGAAAAAAGTTATTTCACTTTCACTAAACACCAAAGGAGCCCTGGTGGCATAGTGGTTAAGAGCTCCGGCTGCTAACCAAAATCTCTGTAGTTCGAATCCACCAGCTGTTCCTTGGAAACCCTATGGGGCAGTTCTATTCTGTCCTGTAGGGTCACTGTGAGGCAGAATCAACACTGTGGCAACAGGTTTGGTTTTTGGTTTTTGAACACCAAAAGCTATTGCCTGTCTTCTCTGGTGAGGAATAAGTATTACTAAATTTACAAAGTAGATTAAATATTTTAGAAGTCCATGGCCATGACAGAAAGTGAAGAGATACAGGTTATTTCTTGAAGATTTAGATTACTGAACGAAACTCAACTGACAGCTGATACTTAATATTTGCCAGGCCACATTCTGTAACTTAGGGGACAAATGCAAATAAGTCTTGTCTCCTTTCCTAAGAATTTCACAATTCAAGGAGAATTGTTACATTGAGTAGTAACCACAACTCAACTAGTTACCCAAACTAACAAACTTCTGTAGAATCCAGTGTCAGTCTGATTCCCTTATTCAGTCAATTACTAAGAGCCACTGACTTGACTTTTAAATATTTTGGAAGTTTGTCCCTTACTATCTGTCTTAGTTATCTAGTACTGCTATAACAGAAATACCACAAGTGGGTGGCTTTAACAAACAGAAATTTAAGTTTAGGAGGTAGGAGGCTAGAAGTCCTACTTCAGAGCACTGGCTCTAGGAAAGGCTTTCTCTCTCTGTGGGCTCTGGAGGAAGATCCTTAGCTCTTCAGCTTCTACTTCTAGTTCCTTGGAGATCTTCTTATGTCTTGACATCTGTCTGACCGCACCTCCCCTCTGCTTGCTTGTTTAATCTCCTTTGTATCTCAAAAGAGATTGACTCAAGATACACCCTACACTAATCCTGCCTCATTAACATAACAGACAACCTGTTCTTAAATAGGAGTATAACCACAGGCACAGAGGTTAGAATTTACCGCACATATTTTGGGGGGACATAATTCAATTCCTAACACCATCCTTACTATGACTATGTCAGCACAGGTCTTATCTCTTTCCTAGACATCCAGCCTTCACACCCATCTGTTGGGTTCCAGAATTGCCTTTAAATTCATCCTCCACACTACCATCAGAGGATTTTATGTGTATTGCAAATATGAATATGTTACACTTCTGCTTGAGCACCCACCAGTGGATTCTCATTTCCTGAAAAGCAAGGCTGTGCCTAATCACATAATCTGTCCTATTTATCCTTTCTTGGTTGTTTCTGTCCATCATTTCCTATATGTATCATGGTATTTCTCACATGTCTTGTACTGCTCTTCCCTCTACCTGCAATGTCCTTCCCATCCTCTTTCATCTCAATGACTCATACTCTCCATGTAAGACTCATGACCTTCCTAGCACCCTTCCCTGACATACTCCTCTCCACTCTCTTTTCCTCACTGGATTGACTGCTTCAAACCTCTGCCCCCAAGATCACCTGGGCGTATTTCTACCAATGGCTTTAACTATACAGTACAAGCTTTTCTGTTCATGGGTCCATGTGGTCTGCTTGACCATAAAATCCCTGAGAAGAGAAACCATATTCTACTTGAGGTTCTAAAAATCCCAGAATCTCTCATAGCACATGAGACATGTTTAAGCACCTGATAAATGATTGAAGAATAAATGTAGTGTGGTTTCATATGATATCTACTATTTAAATAAAATGTTAGAAAAAGGCCAAAGCTAAATTCTTCCTTTGTATGATTTTCACAAAATCTACTGCATAGTTATAAATAGAATTCTTGGAAAATGATGAAAAGCACTGAAGATTGAAATCCTCCTATGATACCTTGCTGGGTGCTAATTCATATTTGAAAGATACATGTAGCTAATTATTTACAAAATTTAAATATCATTGGAATTCTACACTCAAATGTGCCTAATAAATACTCCATCTGAGACCATTTCAGTGACAAAACCAAATTTCACAAACCAAAGAAATTGCTCGTACCCTGAGAGCAATTTTATAATAAAAAGAAATAATGAAAACCATTTAAAAGTGTGAGTTTACAAACTATTTTCCTTGGTCATTCTTAAATAAAGAGAGAGAAGTAAATGACGAAGACAATGCTCTGAAAGCTTCTAATAGAGAGGTAATTGGTTGTATTTAAATGTCCTTAATTTCTAAAATTATGGTCATTGTTATGAATATGTATACTTGTCTATTTAAAAAAAGACAAATTTATATAAATATTAAAAACTCTCCCTTAATAGCAAGGATGACTGAGTCTGTTCATTTGTAAGACCGCAGTGATTCTGGTCCCTGTTGAGGAAGGATATAAGAGTTTATGAAATGCTACATGGGGCAAATCTCTGCTTAATGCACGTAATACTCTGCCTCTACCAGTGACAGCAGAGGTGCTGGATGGGGACCTCGATGGTGACCTTCCATCACACCAAGTTACACCAAGCCCAAGATATGAGGAGCATACCCTGAACTTAGCCTTCATATCCAACTTCAGATCTGTCATCTATGGATTTACCTAAGCCATTGTTGATCCTATTTATGCTTTCAGATGGTACAACCACTCAGGCAAACATGTTCCAGATGTGTACTAAATATACTTCATTTTATTTGACCTACAGCTACCTCCTTCAATATTAAGTCAGTAATAGTGTTTCTGAACATGAGAAACACATACGCATTCTCCCTTTGAGCATTCTGTATGGCTTTATCAAGTTTATCATTTCTTTGTAAAGTAAATAATTTTTTTTTCCTAAACCAGTTCTTATGTATACATTCCTCCAAACCAGTATCATGTTAATTATCCTTCACTGATATTTTGTATATTGTTTCTCGTTCTTTAGCGTCCTTCCTTGAGTTTAGGTAGGAGCCTGGATGGTTCAGGTGGCTTGCAATCAGCTGCTAACCTAAAGGTTGGTGGTTCCAACCAGCCTGAATTACACTGAGTTATTCAGGCGTGGCTATTCTGTGATTTAATTCAAGCGTAAGATTCAAGATATGTTTCAATAAAACAGAAAAATCTAAAATGCTGGCCACAGTATTCATGAAAATAAATGTTGCTCAAAAGTCTATAATGGAAAACATAGTGTTTAGTAGTTTTAAAATGGCTAATTACTAACAAAATTAAAAGGAATCTGTTTTGTCTTCTTTCTCCCTAATCTCTCTTTCCTGCTGGTATCCTTCTTTCCCTCACCAGGGAGTGAATCTTTACAAGGTGATGGAAGCTGGTGACTTTATTTGCAGAGCTGTGAATAAAACCACAAACTCAAAAGTAGCACAAGCCTCCTTCAGTGTTTGACTTGAATGAATTTGTGACTTAAGGTTGAGAAGATCCATTTCAACTGCATAGATTCATCTGAAAGCCTTTACTGTCAACTTGTTCTGAAATGTGAAGTAATAGACAAGAGTGGAAAAAAGAAATACTTTTTAAAAAGCATATAGCTGTATAGATTATGAAGTCAGAGGAAAACACTACCAGTCATCAGGTAAATTGCTAGCTGAGGATAAATAATAAAACTTGTAGACATGCTTTTGAATTTGGAAAAAAGTCTACTTTTTTGCTCTTAGAGAAATAACTTTTCAATTTAGTAGATGTGAAAATTGACTTCAGATTTCCCTAAGTATCAAATGCCGTGTTAATACTTAATCAAGCTGGCTTAGCACAGTGCACATACTGTCAGTAGTTTATGAGCTCCTGCATAGTGTGCGGAGTGTGGGGCCTCGATAGTATGCGTTATGCCTCTGGATCTCAACTTTCCACTTGCCAAGTCAGTTAAGTTATGGACCAAGAGCCAAATCTCCATCTGACCCTACATAATTTTTAGCAATAGAACTTTTTATATTTTGAGTATGGCTAACATCTGTTAACTGTTTCAAAGACTTTATCTTGTTCCAAGAGGCTGTGGTCAATGGCAATGTGCCATACCCTGAAAACATGCTACAACCTCCCATGTTTGTTACATGTATCCCGTTTACCATACTTTCATCAGTTACAGTTAAAAAACCAGTATGGTGTTACTCAACTATTGAGAAATATATGATTTGCATCCTGATATCTAAATTGCAGTAATGAGAATAGATGGACACATGTGCCATGTTCCACTTTTATAATTTGCAGATCACTTCCAAATTGCCTAAGGAAATATCATTATGATCCTAGGAATATTAAGATAATTTTTAATTAATGAAATAAGGTATTTTCCATTGATTCAAAGTACTTTGATTCAACCACTCCATTTTTTTCCTTTGGTTGACTTTTTCCCATCTACTTTGAAAGTCAAAGTGTCTGAAATTGTATCTGTTATACTGGGAAGTGTTGCCAGAAATAGCAAAAATTAATATATCAGAGATTGAGAAGAGGGGCAAGAGGACTGTGTTAAGGAAAATATTTCTGTAACCTATGCAAATCATGTAAGGACAGTGTTATTACATGTGGGTATGAAATGTCAGTTCTATTATTTATGTAGACTTCTCCAACAATACTGAGTGATTTTATCTTTGAATAAATTTGCATATAACTTGAAATATGAAAGTGAGCATTGTGGACTTTCTATTAAATATTCATTAATCCCACTGAAGTAAAAAGGAATTCAAGAAAATAAGGGAAGTGCTGATTATAACAAAGTTAACTTTAAAGATAGACAGTAATAAGAGAAGAATCACAAGAGAATCATAATGGGAATTGACAAAAACAAAATAAATTCCCATGGAGAAGGCCAGCTCATCTGATTGTGAAGCAGCGGTGAAGCAGGAGCTATGACAGCATGCTGGTCTTCCAGAGCACTAAGTGCAGTTCTTTGCGTTCAGGGTTAGAGTGGGGGCATAGGGCCAGTGCAGGGAGCAAACAACATAACAGCCGTTATAGATCTGCCTCGGACACTTCTCCCTTGTGTGTCTCTCTTCGCAAAGTACATGCCTCTGCACGCTGGTCCAGTAACAGGACACTTGCTGTACGTGTGCACGGATGGCAGGATATGTACTCAACCTTCTGACAAGACTAGCTCTTCCTATATCTTACTGAGCTGTGGAGTTCTTAATTTTGAGATATTTGGAAAAGCATCTCTTATGGATTGAAGTGTGTCCCTCAAAAATAGGTGTTGGAATCCTGACCCCTATACCTGTAGATGTAATCTCGTTTAAGAATAGGGTTTCTTTGTTATGTTACTGAGCCCATATCAGTGTAGGCTGTGTCTTAAACCTAACCGCGTTTGAGATATAAAAGCACAAGCACAAATGGGGGAAACACATATGCCACATGGAGATCACCACGGGGAACCAAGGAACCCTCTGACTGGAGACGCTGAAACAAGGATTTTGCCATACCACAGGGAGAGAGAGAGAGAGAGCACCATCCTCTAAGTCTGTGCCCTGAATTTGGACTTCTAGCCTTCTGAATGGTGAGAACATAAATTTCTTTAAAGCCACCCTCTTGGGATATTTCTGTTACAGCAGCACTGGATAACTAAGACAGCATCTTTTGATCCAAACTGCTTAGAGAAAAAGTTAAGGGGAAAAAGTTTCAGTTTTCAAATAAAGACCATAGACTCTTCAGAAGGCAGAGCAAGTAATCAGAAAGCCCGGGAGCAGCCTTGTACACACTTACGTGGCATCCAGGTCAGTCTACCAATTCATTTGCAAAAACACTCTGATACCATCCAGTCATGCTTACCACAAGACTGCTTGCATTTTATGTATTTAACATCCTTCCTCCACTCAGAACAGCCTAAACTTCTGCTAGGTTAAAGAAAGCTTCTTTTCTGGTTTGAAAAGAAAGTCACATAATCACATAAAACTGCCTGAATTCCATGGGCAGAATCCATCCAAAGCTACATTTTAGCTCACCAGGAAACCTTGGAATCTTTGCAGGAGCCACCCAAACAACCCATGCACACACATACAGATGCCAGGATTAGCCTTGGCGAAAGGACTTAGGAATGGCAAAGCAATTATGATTTTTATTGAAATACAAGTCAAAATAACCTTTTATAACATCTCATTTAAGTTAAGGAAAGTATCCTTTCTGTGTTCCAGAATATATAATATGTTTTATTATATGTATGTGTTGCTGACCTATTATAGCCAAACACTTAAAGAGTTCTCTGAAAACTAGAAATGTTCTAAATTCTGGATTCATGAAGTTCACAAAGCAAATAAATGGTTGCTGGCTCTGACTTTCTGGGAAAATCCAGAATGCCCTGTATGTGGTATTTATTCATGTTCACTATAACAGTTAATTCTCCCTTTAGCTGCGTTTATATATTCATTTCTATATATGTACATCTTATATCCTGTGTCTCTGAAATGATTAACTCCAAATATGAGCCACAGGATTATCTATGAAGAAATTGCATTGAATAAATAAGCCACAAATAGCCTCCTATCACAGTTGTAAAGGAAAGATAAAACTAAGGGCTGGGAACCAGCCAGGGGTCTGATTAAAGTAATAGCAAGGCAAGTGAAGAATTGCTTTGAATACCAAGGGTCATTTGCAAATTGTGTTTATGGACTAGAAGATACAGGTTTTGTGCTTGAGCGAGACTGGCCTAAAAGTTAAATTGCTCACATCCTTACTGCTCAAAACGTGGTCCAGGACCAGCAGAGTCGGCATGACGTGGGAGCTTTTGAGAAATGCGGTCTTGGACTCCACCCCAGATCTATTGCATCAGAATCTGTATTTTTAACCAGATCCCTCCCTCTCCCCCTATGATTCATCTGCACATTAAAGTTTGCTAAGCACTTGACTATTTGACACTACCTCTTGGATGTCTAATAGGCATCTGAAGCTCCACATGTTCAGAATTCTTTGCACCCCACTTCTCCCTTCATGCGTTGTACTCTGGCCCACTTGGTGTTCTTCCTATCCCTGGTACAAGCCAGACTTAGACCCATCTTAGGGCTTTTACCTTAGTTATTTTCTCTGCTGTAATGCTCTTTCCCTCGACTTGGGCATAATTGGCTCCTTGTCATTTCAGTTCTCAGCATGAGTTATCACCTGAGTGAAGCTTCTGGAACAACTTAATCTAAAGTAGGTTCTCAGTTACTCTGTCTCAGATCAACTCATTTAATTTTACTCCTTATTTTCTTGTTTATTTGGTGGAAGTTTTCTTTCCCCACCAGAATAGCAGGTGAAAGTGATGGCATTGTTATCTTTTTCACTCCTGTCTCCTCAGCGTCCAGAGCATAGTGCAGGGCCTGGCACAATAGCTGTCCAATAAATGTTATTTGGAAGGAAGATAAAAATAGAAATAGGCTTTATCCAAACATTTGAGAATTTAAGGATAGTAACAGATTTCACCTGAAATTTGTTTTCTTCGTTGTTGTTGTTAGGTGCTGTCGAATTGGTTCCACTCATAGCGACCTTATGTAAATCAGAACTGCCCAGTCCTGCCCTATCTTCACAATCGTTGCTATGCTTGAGCCCATCGTTGCAGCCACTGTGTCAATCCCTCTCACTGAGGGTCTTCTTCTTTTTTGCTGACCCTCTACCTTACCAAGCATGATTTCCTTCTTCAGGGACTGGTTCCTCCTGATAACATGTCCCAAATCCGTGAGATGAAGTCTCGCCATCCTTGCTTCTAAGGAGCATTCTGGCTGTACTTCTTCCAAGACAGACTTGTTAGTTATTCTAGCAGCCCATGGTATATTCAGTATTCTTCACCAACACAATAATTCAAAGGTATCAATTCTTGTTCGGTCTTCCTTATTTATTGTCCAGCTTCAACATGCATGTGAGACAATTGAAAATACCATGGGTATTTGGGTCAGGTGCACCTTAGTACTCAAAGTGACATCTTTGCCGTTGAACACTTTAAAGAGGTCTTTTGCAGCAGATTTTCCCAATGCAACATGTTATTTGTTTTTTGACTGCTTCCATGGGCTTTTTCTCATATATGTATTTAGTTTCATAAGCCCTGAATGATTCTTTAGGGTTTATTTGTTCCATAACAGTTTGGGAGCTAATTCTCATGAAAAGTTTTTAAAATGTATGTTTAATGATTCAATTAAGGAACAGATGGATGCATGCATGCACCACAGAGCTTGTTAAGAAATGTTAGAAAAAATAAATATGGCTAGAGAATCAAATATCCTCTTAAAAATGAATCAAACCAAAGTGAAACAATTGGAATTGGTACCAAGTAAACCATATTGACAACAACAAAAACTTTCCAGCTGCACAGGAAAGGCAATAGCTACAATGAACAATTTAGCAGCTATGCTGTGGTCATTAAGAAATGCATGAATTTCCTTTCTATTTCTCAGTATTTTTCTTACACACATACACACACACACACATACAATGCATACGTAATACACATACGGCCAGTAAAACTCAGTTTCTAGACATTTCTGGAACTTGTCTATTCAAGGAACCAAAAGTACATACTATTCAAAAGTCCACTGTGACATGTCATCAAGGAAAGCGGGCCTATGGTATGAACTGGCATCTAAAGGATTAAGAGATACAAGAAACTTCATAATGATTAGATACAAAGACCTCATCAATTTGGGTATCCCTTAAAGTAGTTCTCATTTGCAGGTATTTCAGAATTAAATCTCAGAACAGAGATAATTTCAGACACCTAACAACAACAACGCACAAACTTACTCTGTATGTTCTCAATCCAGACTGCACTTTAGGGCAAGAGGGGAGACTTAAAAATGCTGATGACTGGACTTTACCCCCAGAGATTCTGGAATGAGGACTCAAGCATCAGCATTTTTTATAAATGTGTGCCAAGCAATTCTCATGTGCAGCCAGAATTTAGAATCTCTACTCTAGAGCAGTGGTTGATTTTAAAAGTGTGGTCCCAGTACGGCAGCATCAGCGTCAGCTGGAATTTATTAGAAATGCCAATTCTCAGGCCCTGATCCAGATCTACTGAATCAGAAACTCTGGGTTGAGGCACAACAATCTGTATCTTTGGAAGTCCCTCAGGTGGTCCTGAGGCATCCTAAAGTTTGCAAATCTCTGCTCTAGGGCCAATTGTCTTCCAAAACAATGGTTTACTACCCTTGTAATTGGCAGAGGAGAACAATGGACAAGACTCAGTTCAGTGTATGCCCCCTGCTCACACAACAAAGCATCGCTTCAACTAACACTCGTGTGGCCCAGGACTGGCATATCATTTCATAAATGCCAGCGTGAATAGAGTTTACAAGGGAAAAGCAGAGTATGAAAACAATCTCAACATCCTCTACTACATTTCTCCTCTAGACTCAGTTTCCAGCTCCATTAAGGTACAAGGGCCATGTGAACAGGTTCATCATCAACATTTCTCCAGGAGGCATGGGTCTGAGACAAAATCCCACCAAGTTTCTACATATGTCATCCCTCAAGCTTATTATAAGGGTAAAACCAAATTAAAGTGACCACTAGAGAGCACAAGGAATAGACATACAGGGGGATTTAAAATAATGCATCATTCAGAGAAGAGGAATTATCATCAAACAGCTTTACCCAAGTGAGAGAGGAGATTTGTTGGACTGAATGTGTATTCCTCAGTCTTGAATCTTCTTTGACACCATCTGATCTTAGACTCCGGAGTTGGAAGCCTGGTTTTACGTTTTGGCTCTATTTATTCAACAACTATGCCATCT